GGCATTTAGCCATTTCAGTCCTGCTGTCCATATTTAATAGGATACTGTTTGTGTTTGTACGGAGCCATAGCCTGCAGTATCGCTGTTGAGAGGGAAAGAGAGAGAGAGAGAGTTGGGACGTGTGTTGTCATCTACGGCGTGAGAGTTTCTTCTGACACTAACATACAGGAGCCAGCTGTGAGCTGTCTGGCAGATTGGACCTAGGGGAGACGGCCGCCATCGCTGCAAAATCTTTAATTACTCGCTAACAAGAGGAACCGTCCTCATTTCAACCCGAGCACATTTCACCAGCTCATTCTGACATGGGAACGATAATCCATTTTTGAGGGCAACAGCCACTTGAACAATCAGACAGGAAGCAAACAGGGGCATTCAGATTATATGGTGCATGACACTCCTGAACTAGTAACGCATAGCCAGACATTTCACTCACGGCATCAAGTGTAGTCCACACTGCAGCTTATTTTGGCTAAAACATGTATTTAAACAGCAAGAGATAGTCTGACAAACATATAAAGTGACCTTTTATGTGGCCACAATTTGCAAGGTTTATCTGAAATGGATTTTTCTTGTACATAAAACATTGAAATATCTATAGACCGAGTGATAAAGATTGTTGTCCACCCAAAATAACACATACAATTTATTTCCCAGACTTTAAAACAAAGTGAAATATGCAGTTCTGCTTGTTTACTTGTTATTAAGTGCCTCAAACAAAATGGTCTCATCGATTTAATTCCACTAACCTGATAAATTCAGTCATTGGTTCTTTCTGAACTAGTGCTCATTGAATCGACCCTGTGACGTTCAGGCAGATTGATAAAAGAATAAATAAAGGAATCGTTGTGCCTTTATTTCAGGAAGTTTCATAAAGCCAGCCAATCAGATTAGTCAGTGAATATACTTTTTTTCTGTGTGTAATTGTCTTTCACCTTTGCCTCCATCTCTAAATCTAAGCTAACCGCATGTCATAAGCATATTGTACCACACATCGAGTGTGTCATCAGGAGAGTTCATATAGTTGTTCAGCACCTGTGAATTGATAATTCAGAAAGCGTGACCCTGGACAAATTTGTTCATTTTCCTTCTAAATTTAAACTGCCAGATGATTGAATGAAAGGTCTGGAGATACAAAAACGGAACTGATTCATACTTTGGAATATAATAGAAAACGTCATCAGGTTAACGTCACGCATGTAACCATGGTTCCCTGAGGGAACGAGACGCTGCGTCAAAACGCTATGGGAACGCCTTCAGTGTGACCACGCTCTAAATCACGTGTGTAATCAGTCTAATGGATGGGCGAGATGTCACGGGCGGGGTGATGTAGCGACCAGGAAGCTTAAAAGCACGTGCAGTGAATACAGCATCAGCTTCTAGGAAATGAAGCAAGCACTCACAAGTATGCCGGAAGTATGGCAATGAGAAGCAGCATCTCGTTCCCTCTGGGAACCATGGTTACATGCGTAACCTGGAGACGTTCCCCTTTCAGGAACTCAAGCTTTGTCGAAACGCTATGGGTACAAGTATGCCCAAACCGCCAGACTTACAAATCCCTGCCTAGTGTGGAAGAGTACAGCTAGGGCGAGAGAACAGAAGAGCCTGGAGTGGCTCGCATATCGAGGTCATAGAACCTGACGTACGTTAGGGGCGTGGACCAACTCGTAGCATTGCAGATGTCCTGCATAGACACACCTGCCAGAAAGGACATGGAGGCCACCAAACTTCTAGTCGAGTGAGCCTTGACCCCCAAAGGCGAGGGAAGATCAGAGGACTCATAGGCAATGCAAATGGCATCCACAATCCACCGGCTGAGGGTTTGTTTAGTAGCAGGAAGACATCTTATGGGGGGACCATAGCAAACTAGCAGTTGGTCCGCCCTTCTCCACAGGCAGGACATATCCTTCCTGAATGTGGTAGCCTACAGTGAGCAGGACCCATTGAGACACATTTAGCAGAAGTGTCCACGCTGCCAAATAGTCTACTAAGGGAATCAGTCTCTCGAGACTGACCTCTGGTGTAATCAGAGCGGCTAGCTCAGTGCCCTGAAGCGGCGGACCGGCAGGGACGGCCAAACTAGGTGCTCTAGAGACCTCCGCAGAGGTAGCGAGCCTCTTAGTACCACTACGTTTCCGGGAGGTGACTGAGAGAAGCGCTCGCCGGGGACCGCTGTGCCCTGGAGCACCGTGGGTGGCAAGGTTGGCAGACCGATCTCCTGAGGGCACTGAGGAGAGACGGGCACCGTATGATGAGGTGTACACCACTCTTCCCCAGAGGGGCCTGCCCTCAGAGCCACAAGCGTCACGACTTCTTGGCCGAGGCCTTCTTAGATGTAAGAACAGTCCGCAGATCCGGCTTCGTCTTAGAAGACTCCCGGTCCCGACGCGGGGGAGCACGGGAGGCGACGCTCTGCTTTTGTGCCTCCTGGTATGAGGAGCTGGTACAGGGAGGGGGCTGCTCCCGCCCAGCATCCCCCAGAGCTAGAGAGCGGTGAGGCAGGAACTGCTGGAAAGCTGCCACTTGTTTACGAGCCTCCTGGTACCTGTTGACGACAGAATTGACGGCGTCGCCGAACAGGCCAGAAAGCGCAAGCGGGGCATCCATGAGGAAGTTCCTGTCCTTTTCTTTCATGTCAGACAGGGGTCAACCACAGGTGTCTCTCTGCCACCACCAGTGCTGCCATAGACCTGCCGATGGCGCGGACGGTCTCTTTGGTGGCGTGGAGAGACAAATCAGTGGTTCTGCGGTGATATCCTCTGAGTTAATCTCCTCACCCTCATCTAGCTCTTTCAGCAGTTTGGCCTGGTATGCTTGTAACACTGCCATTGTGTGCAAACACGCACCAGCCTGACCTGCTGCCGTGTACCCTTTGCCCACCAAGCTAGATGTAGTACGTAGCGGCTTGGAGGGCAATGCCGAAACCTTCAGGGACGATGCCGCAACGGGGGATAGATAGCTTGCAAGCATCTGCTCAACCCGGGGCATCACCCTGTATCCGTGATCACTCAGCCCCACCACATTGGCATAATGACTGGAGGCGGCTTGCTCCGCAGAAGGCATTCATCTAGTTTGCTATTCTGCGGCTCAGACTGTTTCTCGGCGGGCCACTCGATGTTTAACTTGGCCACGGCCCGAGTAACCACCTCCAATAGCTCCTCGTACTGGGGCGATTGAGGGGGCAAGTCCTCATCGACGCCCTCCACGTCAACCTCCTCGGAAGCGGAGCGGGCTTCCGATCCCAGAGAGCGGGCACTGAATCTGGTGGGTGAGGAAGAAGAAAGGGACTAGCCCGTCTCCATTCCCTCCATCAGATCCATCTGCGAACCACACGAGCACATCCGCCGCTCCGCCTCAGAGGAAGCAGGGCCGGCACCGTGAGGAACGCTGCCAAAGGCTCACTTCTCAAAGAGAGCCTTCCGGGAGCGAAGGGTACACAGCAGGAGACGCTCGCAATGCGGGCAGTCAGTTCCCTCAAGAGCTGACTCTGCGTGCTTCACTCCCAAGCAGACAACGCACAGACTGTGTGTATCCCCAACCGTAATGTAGTGTGGGCAGGGAGGAACACATAACCTGAAACGCTGCCTGCTCTCGCCCAAATGGTTTGTCTTAGCGGATGCTTTCGACATAATGGAGCTTATAATGTGGACAAACAACACTAAATAAGACTCACAACAAATAGAGGACTGACACACACAGAGCGCTTGATGAATGACAGAAAGCTGACACTATATCCACTGCACATGCTTTTAAGCTTCCTGGTCGCTACATCACCCCGCCCGTGACATCTCGCCCATCCATTGGACTGATTACACACGTGATTCAGAGTGTGGTCACGCTGAAGGCGTTCCCATAGCGTTTCGACGCAGCTCGAGTTCCTGAAGGGAACTACCTCTTTCATAGACCTTCACATCTGTATAACTCCAAGCTGGAGCTGGTTTTATGTTAGACTTCAATCCATTATATAGAATATTGGCAAAAGAACGAAGATGCAAGTTGTGCTGCATTCAGAGTTGTGTGCAATTTTCAAATTTCTTCAGGCTACAGTGTCTTTCGGCTTCATCAGATGGAATTTTCGGCATCCTGCGATGTGGCTTTTATACTGCCATAAAGGTTTAAAACCTCTTAACTGTCACCCGTCCCCTCTGTGGGACGCCTAAGTTTACTTCACTATATTACAATTAAATCCTAATCTAATCATGACAAACTATATATCGTTAGAAAGGTGAAAAACCAGTGTTTTTGTTAAAAATTATGTAGGAAAAGTAATAGATGAATTTATGACAAGAGTGCACCTCAAAAATTTACATCATAACAGGAGTTCTGACCTTTGCCACAAAAAGTCTTCTTCGTTGCCTTTTTCTCTATCACACTTTAGAAATCATCAGAAATTATATATCAATTGAAAACTTAAAATCTCAAAATTCATCTTTTGAAAACCATTTTAAAATCAGACATTGCATTACCATGAAAATGGTACATTAAAATCATATTACAAAATGTTTTCATTCATGAATTATAAAAATTTAAGTTTGGATAGTGCATTTCACGTCTATGTTCAAAAATGTGAGTGACAGTTAAGGGATTAATCCCTGATGTTTTAGGGCCTGCCTGTGGCCAGCCATTTTTGTTGTTGAAAAATGTAGCACAGAAGATTCCTTCATGTCGGTCTGTCTGCAAAACCTGCTACTGTGCTCCATAGTGCTCCATATTTTTTTTTTTTATCGTTGCTTGTGTCTACACACTATTGTTGCTTTATGCGGCACTTGCTTTATTCCATCCCTGCTGTGTCTACATTTAGAGACATTTAAAGGCCTCAAGTTTTAAGAGGTTCTTAAAAACCTTCACCAAACCCCACTCAAGTCCGACAATAGCATTTTTAACTTAACCTTGCTTAATCTTGATTTGTTTGTTACTCTTTCATCTTCTTCTGGTGTGAGCTTGCAGAACAATATTACATGTCTAATGCCAAATTTCTCCACCTTTCTCCCCTTGTATTGCAGACCGGAAGAAAAGAAAAAGGAGACCCACTGAATTCAGCTATTGACAAGATGACCAAGAAGACCCGTGATCTTCGCAGACAGGTGAGTCAGTCCTTTGCCTGTTGTCTTCCTAGGAAATAAGAACATAAAATGAACATGACCACTACACTGAAAGAAAGTGATATATTACCTCAAGATATTCAACATCTCATTTTTGTTCATGAAACATTGTTTCGTAGAACACAAAAGGACATAAATAAGTGATGAGAGGATGGTGATGGTAACTGTCAAGCTCCAAAAAGCACATAAAAGTATCATAAAAGTTGTATATAGGACTTGTGCACTATATTATGATAGCTTTGTGTGAGGAAGGGACTGACATTTAAGTCATTTTTTCACTGAAGCTCTGTCGCTCTGCCATTTAAGTCCCCTTTTAATAACACCACACTTTAAGAACCACAGGTGTACAGAATCGTCTTTTCTGAAGGTTTCCTTTGAGCCTGCAAATGGATTTAAACTTTCAAATAAGCAGACAAACAAAATGCTAAAAAGTAACTGTAATGCACACCACTGAACTATACGTTGTATTTTTACTTGGTGTTCAAAAGAATAAGTCTTTTGAGAACAGTTTAGACTTATATAACACCTCCTCACATTTCTGAACATCTGACTGTCGTGCATAAGAGCATCAAACACCAGTATGTCTCTAACTCAAGAAGCTGAGGTCCATGCTCTTGATTTCAGCAATCAGCACAACTTAAAAGCTCTTTTGATGCATTTTCTCTCTCCATCACCATGACAATGAAACAAAGTGTCAGATCGGTCAGCACTGATCTAAACTAAAAACAGAGTCTAGAAATAAAGCTGCTAGGCATTAGACATAAGGGCATTCCTATCTGACTGACATTCCCATCAGGAGAGTTTTTACTTATAAAGAATGAGCATATACTATGCTATTATATGATACTATTACCTAACATTTACATCAAGAGAAATTAAGTATTCTGTCTGCTCCTCAGTATAAAGAACAAGGCTAGATTCATGTTTCACTGGTTAAGGGAAACATAGGCGCTCCTGTCAGCCCAATTAGGGCAAGATTTTTGATAAATAGCATCATACATTTCCCTCTGTTCCTTGAACAATGTTGTTGTATGATTTTTGAACACTTGGCATACTTTCATGATACATACTTGTATGGTGCTTTTTGTCATTGTGGAGTTTGATAGCACCCACCCGCACTTACTATTTTCATTATACGGACAGGAGCCGGTAGAGTATTGTTTACCAAAGAAAAAAAATGTATTTTGTATTCCTCTGAAGAAAGAAAGTCATATTCTAGGTTTGGAATAGCACAAGGTAGAATAAATGGTGACAGAATTTTCAGTTTGGGTGAACTATTCCTTTCATAAACTCACCATATAACACATTCGGGTAAGGAAAAATTGTCCCTACACTCTAAACATCAAAATGTCAGCTGTCAGAGAGCATGCAATCACCACAGTCACCCTCTCATTTGTAAGATTTCTTCACATTCTCTAGAAGATTGTTGTGTTTGACCATTCAAAACTTGTTTTGTATTCTGGCAAAATAAAATTTTTGCACGATTCTATTATAGTTAATGTTTTACCAGTGCCTGATTCTTACAAGACCCTTACAAATTTGAAATTGGCTTAGACTTTTCCCAGTCTGCTGTTACTCATGTCATAACTCAGGATGGTCACCAGTAAAAGGTTTAAGACTGTGTGCATTGTTGTGGTGCCATCTGCAAATCAGCGATGTTATTAGGACATGTTCATACCTGGCTCATTTGGAGAGTTTGTTTCAGAACCTAGTGCATTTTGACCCTTAGTTCAGTTTGTTTAGGCATGTATGAACACAACAATCTTGTTTGGATCCGCACAGAAACAATAGGTCTGAGATCATCTGAGCGAGCTGGCCTCGACCCAATTGAAAATACACTCTGGAGTGTTTCAGTTGTGGTGAGAAAACAGTTCGACCTAACAGACAAACGAACCAATTTGTTCTTAATTGCTCTTTTCTGAAACAGGTGCATTGCAAGAATGACGCTATGAACAGAATCCCAGAATATAAATAGGTGCACTCTTAACAACAAAAGGATGGTTTGCACTTATATGAGACTCGCATAAACATTTTGGTACACTTTGAAATGTTGCCTTGTAAGAGCAAACCAAAGCAAGAAGAGAATGCAAGACCGTAACAATTTAAGTCCCTGTTTCGGAACAAAGCAAACAATCTACAGGTCTGAAAATGCACTTAGTCACATGGCATTCTCAAATGATTGGCTGATAACACTTTAGAATAGGGAACACTTATTCACTATTAACTATGAATTTTCCCTCAATAAATTCCTAATTTGCTGCTTAATAATAGTTAGTAAGGTAGTTGTTAAGTTTAGGTATTGGGTAAGATTAAGGATGTAGAATAAGGTCATGTAGAATAAGGCATTAATATGTGCTTAATTAGTACTAATAAATGGCTAATATTCTAGTAATATACATGCTAATAAGCAACTAGTTAAGAGACCCTAAAATAAAGTGTTACCAACTGGCTCAAAAAGTTCTGTGGGACCATGAGCAAGTGTAGCAGATTTTAAATCTCACACTTCCGGGTGGTCCTGGGACTGTAAAGATGAATATTAATGCTAACATATAGCCTTCTCCAGGTATTATAGACCTCCTTGGCCTGCCCCCACTGAGAGAAGACCCTCTTCACCCCACATCACAGTAAATCCACAGAGAGAACAACTAATGCAGAATGGATGTTCGTTTTAAGCGGCCTGCTTTAATTACACTCTTGGAGTTCAGGAGTGTGTTAGTGGGTGTATAAATCAGCCGGCGCAGAGGTTAAGAAGCGGTACATACAGACTCACACACAGCTGGAGCACATGAACATTCACCGTTTACCCTCCGCCCGGTTTGTACAATCTTTTATAATTGGAAAACATCTTTTACAATCTTTTCACTCCCACCCCCTTCACCAAGACTGTAAATTCCATGGCCGCATTTTCAGACTCAGCAGTCGTACATCACCTCCCTCATTTCTGCTCCTCTATGTTCCTTCCCTCCTCCCCGAACCCCACAGCCATCGCGTTCCTGCTTTTTCTGTCACCCGCTTCGCTGGACCAATATTTGGAAAGCTGTAAACTTTCCCTGACAAATGCATTGTAGTTACGTGTCGGATGAGGAAACCGGCTGTTTACAGATTTGCCAGGCCAAGCATTTTTAATCCTCTTAAGACATTTATTTGATTATCTGTCATGGTCTGAGGCAGGGCAAGATGTTTCCCTCATGGATACATGGAGATTTGATGGTATAGTCAAGTGGTTTAAAGGAAAAGAAAATGTGTTTGATAGCCCTGATTTACCCCAGCTTACTCTACTCCGGAGTCATCTCCCGGTAATTCTGGCTGATCACTTCCTGTTTCCACTGCTGGTGAGCTCCATATGCTCTTGCATCTGATAAACCACCTCTCACCTTAACAACATGTCACTAGAATCTCATCACAAAACAAATTACATTTGAATCACTTTAATTGGGTTTAAGATCCTGGAAAAACTTGCCAAGGGATCAAGGAGGATTCTAAGCAAGTTGCGGACCAAGCTGTTGATGTATTCAATGTGAAATCCATGCACATATCTTGGATGTCCTCATTACGTATTTTAATTTCAGGCAGTGATCTATGAGCTGCACTCATCTGCTGTGATTGTGATGTTGTTTACCGACCTCACAGAACATCCGCCACAGGCTTTATAACGGAAAAACAGCCCAATTCAATCAAAATGAATTACAAAATGTTATTGGGTTGTTATTAGTTGATAGCAGGAAGATGATGCATTGAGCCATTGAGGCACTAGCGCAGGGGTTTCCTGGGGTTAACTGATGCACAACTCGCCCATGTACAATGCAAAACAACCTGTACGGCACACTGGGGAACATGTGATATTTGTGTATATTTGCATGTATGGATCTGGGTAGATTCATGTGCTAGTTATGGCACGGTTTGTGTGTGTGTGTGTGTGTGTGTGTGTGTACACGAGTAAATGCATTTCCTTCTCATGGCTGAGCCACTGAAGATATGAGATGCGAACCTCTGTGATCCGCTCAGGGCTTTTCAGGCCCCTCAGTCAAATGAATGGAGGCATCGCCATCTCATCAAATCAGTCTCACCGGGGGAACATCGAGTGTCTGTGGCAGCCAGTTTTGAGTTATTACTGTCTACCTAGCAAGAGAATATACCACCCCGACCAGTGCAAATCAAGCAATAATGGCGAGCCCTGTTCAGGATCGCAGACATTGCAGAGGAGCGATGGTTGATTTTCGTATTGCCCTCGCTGCTTAGTCTGTGTTGTATTACATTTGACCTGTTTAGGTTCAGCATGTGTTTATGGATGGTTCTTTTTTTTTGATAGATAGATAGATAGATAGATAGATAGGTCGGTCGGTCGGTCGGTCGATCGATCGATAGATAGATTTCCTTGCTTTAGTAATATCATATGGTTTGACTACTGATGTGTCATTGTCTGTGTAAATAACTAATTTGCAAATAATAAATTTGTTTTGTATGAGGTGGGATGTTGTACAATATGTAGCATGTCCTGCAAAGATTTGTGTATTAAATGCAAAGGAAATAATTTCACACCGAAGTAAAAAAAAAGCTTCAGTTTACTTAAAAGGTTCACAGTAGAGACCTGCGCGGGACGGATTTTTCAGTCCCGCTCCCGCAAGATTCTGTCAGCGCCCGCCCGCTCCCGCAGAAATATATCTTATCTGGTCCTGCTCCCACCCGCGACATTCATGTTTTGTCCCGCTCCCGCCCGCTAAAGCCCGCATAAAAGTAATCTATATAGATTTTTTTCAGTAGGCCTACATCGAAGAAATGTACATAAAATGGTTCTGTAATATCTTCTAAGCTCCACAACATACCAGCATAAACGCTCTCGATAAAATATTTGTTATTTAGGCTAAGCATCAACATTCACATTCACAAACCACTGTTATTTTTAACAGAAAAGCAAGCATGTGCTGCTGCGTGCATGGTTTGGCATGGCAGAATGCAAGCAGCGCGCTTCCTTTATTATCACT